CCCTCCCCGCGGGCCCCGCCGCTTCCGCTCGCCCTGGTGCCGCCCGGGGAGGCAGACGCGCCGCCTGGGCTCTGCGTCGCCGGTAAGTCCCTCTTCCAATCCGCCCGCTATCCCGGCCGGCGTCTCCTCCCCCTCCCGGGGCCCGCGCGGGCTGGAGGCTACGGGGCCGCAATCCCCAGGGTGGGAGAAAGCTCGTCCCCACTTCCTCCTGGGGAAACTGAGGCCTGGAGGCGTGGCTTGTCTTGCGGCCACACCGCCGGTCAGCAGTGCAGACACGAGGAGGTGTAAGTGTCTTGCTCCGGGGGCGGGGGCTCTGGGCAGTGGGAAGAGTGGTCCTTCCAGCCCCTCACTTTCCATCACCTGGACCCCCACCCCACAACCGTGCTGAGCTGGGAGCGGGTGTCGGAAGGCCATGCCCCTCCCCTATCTCGGCTCTCCGGTCCTGTCTCCTGGGCCGGCCGGGGCTCTGGGTGCAGACAGGGGCGGAGATGCAGCTGGCGGCCCAGCTCTGGGCAGAGAGGGGGACCTGCCCCGCGGCCCCCAGGTTCTCAGCACCTGGAGCCACCTCGGGCCCAGCCCTGGTGCCCAGGTCCCAATGTCAGAGCCAGGAAGGCCTGAGAACCCAGGAGACTGAAGCTCACGAGGGGCCCTGGGTCAGCAGGTCCAGCCTTCCCTTGCCCAGTGCACAGGCCCCGGCGCTGGAGGACGCCAGCTTGTCCTGCGTGTCCTTCCGCACTGCTGACCGACCGCTGGGCATCCTGGCCCTGGCCCTGGCCTGAGAGAGGACTCACAAGGCGGCCGCTTCCCTCCCTGTTTCCGCCAAGGCCGTGGTCACGTGGAGGGTGTGGGTGGCGAGTGACTCCATCCTTCCCCTGACAGATGGGGAAACTGAGGCCGCGGAGGCGAAGTCTCCCCCTCCAGCCCTCCCACCTCTGTCCCTCGTCATCTCACCCGTGGCCCTTTCCCTCTGCAGGCCGCCCTGGTGCTCTATCCCACACCCTCTGCTCATGAGGCCATGAGGCACCGACTGGACCGGGGCCAGGTCACCCCTCCCTGCCCGTCCCCCAATCCAGGGGCTCCCTGCTGCCGTGGGTCTGGGAGCTGAGGGGGCCCTGGAGGCCGGGGTGCTACTGGGGTGCCTCTGCCCGGGACCGGCCCCTGAGCCAGCCCCCACTGGCCGCCCCTTCTGCAAGGTCTCATCGAGTCCTGGACTGAGCCCAGCTGGTCCTCGCTGCACAGATGGGGAAACTGAGGCCTAGGGAGGCAGAGCGGCTGACCCCCGGCCATACAGGAAGGTAGAGGCGATGACGGTGGGAGTGTGAGGGGCCCCGGCCTGGAGACACCCGTGCACTATCCCGGAGTGATTCCTTACAGCATCAGACACTGAATAAGCACGTGCTGTGTGCATCTTAAGACAAGAAACAACCAATAAGAATAATAATAATTTTTGAGTCCTCCTTCTTCATACCAGGTTCTGTGCCCCTCGTTTTCCTTCCCTGATCCGACAGACCCCTCAAACTTTCCTGTAAGGGGGGCTCTGTTATCACGCCATTTTTCAGACATAAGAAGGGAGACTCAGAGAGGTTAAGTTACTGTCCGCAATCACGCAGCCAGTCAGGGCAGAGCTGGGGTTCACCAGCCCCCACTGCAGCGACCCCTCTGCCCCCCCAGACCCCGTGCCCTCCGGAACCTCCTGCTTCTGCTGTGGACCCTCCTGGACTGTGGTTTGGGGGGCAGTGCTCAGGTAAGGGGGGACATGAGGGCAGGGGGCAAAGGGACCCACCCGGCCAGCGGTGTGGGGCGCCCGCCTCCCTCCAGGCTGACCGGGCCTCTCTCGCCCCAAGTAGGGTCCGGGTGAGTGGACTCCGTGGCGATCGTGGAGTCGCTGTTCCAGCTCCTGCGGCCGGGGGCTCTCGGTGCGCAGCCGCCGGTGCGTCCGGTGAGTGGGCAGCTGGGCTCGGCCGGGCGGCGCGGGAGGGCTCCCTGCCCCTCCTCTGCTGCCCCAGGGCCCAGCCCTGGCCGCACCCTCGGCCTGCCCACACACGCTGTGCCTTTTAATCCCGCTGATCCAGCTGGAATGTGGGTGGGGTGCGGGGGTGGATGGGTGGGCAGGCCGGCCCTGGGGAGGGGGTTCCTGACCACACTCTGGCCACCCTGCTCCCCATAGGTTCCCTGAGGAGGAGCCGTGCTGGGGGGATTCCCACGAGTATCGCCTCTGCCAGTTGCCAGTAAGCTTGCCTGCCTCCCAGATGAGTCTGCCCTGAAGCTCACCTGGTCCCCACGCGTGCCCCCAAATACACTTGCTGCCCTGCCACGTTCCCTGGGCCCCCCCCGGGGCTGTCCCAGCCTCTAACCTACTCATCTCTGTCCCCAGGACTGTCCCCCAGGGGCTGTGCCCTTCCGAGACCTCCAGTGTGCCCTCTACAATGGCCACCCTGTCCTGGGCTCTCAGAAGGCCTACCGATGGGTGCCCTTCTACGGCGGTGAGCAGCCTGCCTTCCTGTTGGGCCAGAGGGAACAACTCAGAGCTGGCAGGGAGAAGAGGCCGCTAAGAAGGAAAGGGGACTTGGAGGGTTGCAATGAGAAGGGGGCATTAGCACTGGGGCTTTGAAGGATATATAGGAGTTGGTGAAGTGAGGGGGTGGAAAAAGCTTGTGCGAGGGTGTGAAGCAGGGTCTATTCTGCACAGGGTCCAACACCAGGCTGAGGATTTACTTGGAACTGTATCCAGAGGCCAACAGTTCTCAAACTTGCCCCGCTAGCAGGAAATGTTGCTGCATTGAGCCGAAAATAGCAAGTTATATAAGCATGTGCCCAGGGCAGCGCGCCTCCAGATTTAAGGGAGACAGGCAGCTTCAGACGCCTTGGTGGGGGCAGACACAGATAAGAAAAGCCCAGAACGGAGAAAGGTTCCATCCGTCAACCTCAGGGGTGTTTTTTTCCTTCACTCTAAGAATTGGCGGAAACCTGCCATGATCCCACCCCCGCAGAGGCCCGCCAGGGCCAGCGTGGGCTCCCATCCAGGCAGGGGCTGCCAGCCCGGCTCAGGGAAGGGGGACCCAGAGGGAGATTGGGCTGGCAGGGTGTGATCGGACTGCCCATTACAGCCCCAGGAGGGCTGGCGACACACCCAGGCTACAGGGACTCAACACTGCACAAACACTTTTGATTGGGCACCTGCTGGGTGTCCGAGTGCTGAGTGAGTTCTGCTCACTGCTGTACCGCAGAGCCCAGAAGTGTGTCTGGCAAACAGTAGGCGCTCAATGAGTGTTTGCAGAATGAACGAATGGATGCAGAACAGGTAGCGATGTTAACAACGGATAATATTTAAGGACTCCTAATATCAGGACTTAACACGAATGCATGAATGCAGCCCCAGGACACTTGCCTGGGAGAGCCCAGGCAGCTGGAGGCACTAAGATCCTGGCTGTGCCTCAACCTCCATGTGTAGCTTTGGCTTCATCTGCCCAAGGGGGCTGCCTGGGGGAGACTGGTGGGGAGGGAGCCGGAGCTCGGATGGAGGTCCCTGGATCGTACCAACAACTCCTTCTGCCCCCCAGCGCCCAACCAGTGCGACCTCAACTGCCTGGCCGAGGGGCACGCCTTCTACCACAGCTTCGGCCGCGTGCTGGACGGCACCCCCTGCAGCCCGGGTACCCAGGGTCTCTGCGTGGCTGGCCGCTGCCTCGTAAGGACTCGCCAGGCCCCGCCCAGCCCCGCCCACCTCCCGTCCGAGCCCCGCCCCCAGGCCCCATTCACTTAGTTCCAGGCTTCCCCTCTTCCTTAGGCCCCGCCCCTTGCACCAAGCCACGCCCTCAAAAGCCACGCCCCTCTGTAGACTCCACCCCCAAGCCTCTTCCCTCCAGGGCCTTCCCTTTTACTCCCAGGCCCCGCCCCCAGATCCCTTCCTTTTAGTTCTGTACTCCTGCCCTCTTCACTAGGCCCCGCCCCGTCCCACCCAGGCCCCGCCCCTCCCTGGGCTCCGCCCCCAGAATCCTCCGTCCAGGACCCACCCCAGGCCCAATTTCTTTCATTCCAAGCCCCGCCCCTTACCCCAGGCCCCGCCCCCAGGGCGGCCCCGGGCGGGTGGCTGTCCGTGAGCGCGTGCGTGGCCTCCCCACCCCTTTAGAGCGCTGGCTGTGACGGTTTGCTCGGCTCAGACGCCCTCGAGGACCACTGCGGCCGCTGCGGCGGCGCCAACGACTCGTGCCTCTTCGTGCAGCGCGTGTTCCGTGACGCCGGTGACCGCCCGCCCCATCCTACGAGCCCGCGCAACGCCGGCCCTTTAACGAGCCTCGGGCCCGGAAGCGAAGTCCCGTGCTGATTGGGCAGTGTGCGGCCCAGCCGCCCCTCGCTCTTCCTTCTGATTGGCCACTCCCAGATTGCCCCGCCTTTCCCAGAACAGATGGGGTTTTAACCCTTTCGCTGCTGCACTTAAGCGATAATAAGAACTCCAAACGTTTGCGGAGCGTTTTCGGAGTGCCAGGACCCGCAGTATCTCATTTAATCCTCAAATCATCCCTCAAATACACACCCGCCTGCACCCCAACACCGTCCTTCCCTCCCTCCCAGGTGCCTTCGCTGGGTACTGGAACGTGACTCTGATCCCCGAGGGCGCCAGACACATCCGCGCTGCCCACCGGAGCCGCAACCACCTGGGTATCAGGGTCCGAGGGGGGAGGTGTCCTGCTCGCCGCCCGGGTGCAGCCGGGGAGACTGAGGCTCGGGGAGAGGGACGCCAGGGTTGGGCGGTGGGAGGGGCCGGCCCGGGGAGCCCGCTGACCTTTCCCTTACAGCGCTGATGGGGGGCGACGGGCGCTACGTGCTGAACGGGAATTGGGCGGTCAGCCCGCCCGGGACCTACGAGGCGGCGGGCACCCTCGTGGTCTACACCCGCGCCGCAGCGGAGGAGACGCTGCACGCGGTGGGGCCCACCTCCCAAGACCTGCTCCTGCAGGTGCGGGCGGGCCTCTGAGGGGGCGGCTGGGCACAGGAGGGGGGGTTTAAAGGATCCGGGGGGAGGCAGGGGTCAAAGGAGGGAGGCTGGGGTCAGAGGGGGAGAGGCTGAGGTCAGAGGGGGGCAGCAGGGGTCGGAGGGTCAGAGGGAGAAGGCTGGGGACAGAGGGTCGGAGGGGGGAGGCTGGGGTAGAAAGTCAGAGGAGGGAGGCTGAGGTAGAGGGTCAGAGGGAGGAGGCAGGGGTCAGAGAGGGGAGGCTGGGTCATCGGTCCGAGTGTGGCTCCCTAGTGTGCAACACCCCTCCAGGTCCTCCTGCAGGAGCCCAACCCCGGCATTGAGTTCGAGTTCTGGCTCCCTCGGGAGCGCTACGGCCCCTTCCAGGCGCAGGCGCAGGCCCTGGGCTGGTCCCTGCGGCAGCCGCAGCCTCGGGAGGTGGAACCTCGGCCCCCCGAGCCTCCCGCAGGGCCCGCTGCCAGCCCCCCGAGGACCCCGACCCCTGCCCCAGGTGAGGTGGGGCCGGCCAGGGTAGGGGAAGCCGGGAGGAGAGGCCTGTGCCCCTGACTGCGCCGCCCCCACAGACCCCTGCCCACCCTGCCCCGACACCCGCGGTCGCGCCCACCGGCTGCTCCACTATTGCGGCAGCGACTTTGGTGAGAGACCCCTGACCCCAACCCTCGCCTGGCCCCTGAGTGACTTGAACTTGGCCCCTGTCCTGCCGAACTCTGACCCTGTTCTGACTTTACCCTCGATTCCTTGACCTGACTCCAACTTGACCCCTTCTTCTGACCCTAATTTGACTCCTCAATCTGACCCTTTGCCCTAATCTGACCCCTCACCCATTATTGATCCCTGACCTGACCCTGACACCGGTCCCCTCTCCACAGTCCCAAGGGGCCCCCAGTGCTCCCTCCCCCGACCCCCAGTTCCCTCGTCTGGCATGGGTGTGTGGATGGGTGCCCAGGGTGGAGCGTCCAGCCAGCCTCAGCACCACCCTGCCCACAGTGTTCCAGGCCCGCGTGCTGGGCCGCCTCCGCCAGGCCCAGGAGACCCGCTACGAGGTGCGTGTGCAGCTCGTCTACAAGAACCGCTCACCACTGCAGGCCCTGGAGTACGTGTGGGCGCCGGGCCGCTGCCCCTGCCCACCGCTGGCCCTCCATCGCGAGTACCTGCTGGCCGCCCAGCGCCTCGTCAGCCCCGATGGCACTCAGGACCGGCTGCTGCTACCCCATGCTGGCTATGCCCGACCCTGGAGTCCCGCTGAGGACAGCCGAATACGCCTGGTCGCCCGGCACTGCCCTGTCTGAGCCCCTGGACCAGGCCCCCGCCTCACACAGCAAGAAAGACATGCCTGACCAGGCTCAAACTCAACCTATTTCCCCTCTTGCCTTGGCTTCTGGGAGGCTCAGAAATATCTCCCACCGGAAGCGTGTGACTCTGTGTCACACACACTTAGACACCCCTGCACGCAGTCAGATCCACTGTCATAAGCAGGTAGGCACTGGTGAGGACACACTGAATAGACTCTAACTCCTATTTCCTCTCTCACTCTGGCTACCAGGAAACTCATAGCTATGTTATACTCAGAAATTTTGTGTCTGCTTTTATTCCCCTTGCCTCACTCTCACTTGCCTAGAGACACCGTTACAAACTAGCAAGGCCCAGAGGAAGACTTGACTAACAAGACATTGTAACGTATCAGTTTCCCCTCTTGCACTGGCTGCCAGGAAGCTCATCACTGTTTAACTCTCTGGCACTCTGTGCTCTCCCTTCTCGCTGCCACTTACACATACACCCTCACGTATTCAGAGACACCATCACAAGCAGGCATGCCCTTAAAAGACCCGCCAAACCAGACACTGTAATGTACCAATTTCCCCTTTTGCTCTGGCCACCAGAAAGTTCAGAGATCGTCTTGACAGCCTTAGCAATTGTAGGTGGGTTTCCTCCAGGCAACACTGCTGTTCACCCTTTTTTATTTCCATTTAATTTTTACAAGCAGTTTTTTACACAAGGGCACCCCAGTTAAATGTACTCGGCCACAGAGGTGTGGGGACGCACTGGTCATCCGATCCACAATCGCGCTGTCACAGCGTGTCCACGCGTGATCACACCCACCCCGTCCCCTCCTCCTCCTGCTCCAGCCCCCACCTCCCCTCAGCATGACCCTGTGTGGGGGGTGAGAGCAGGAAATATATGAGGATGGGGGGCAGGAGAGGAGTCGACAGGGCTTTATAGGTCCCAAGCCCCCTCCCTGTGCCCCTTTGGGGACCATTCATCTCAGGCCATCTCAGACCCTTCCCCAGTGGGGGAGGCAGGTCAGAGCCCCTGCTCTCAGCCTGTCCCTGTCCCCGTGTGTTCCTCCTCATATATTCTTCTGGAGCCAGGAGGACAGACCTCAGTTGTGTGTGAATTGGGGGTGTCTGTGGGGTGTCACACAGTCGCTCAACAAACCTCCCCCATGGAGCGCCCCTGAGGGGCTCCCTTTCTGCCTCCCCCCCAGACGGGGTGGCTCACGCTGTCATTTGGGGCAGTCTGTTCCTCTGTACCATCCGTGGTTGTGTTTTTCTCTGGTGCGAGGGACGGTGGGAGTGGGCACGGAGAGGAGGACGTGCGGGTCTCCATGGGCTCAGCCCCTGACACTGTGGGTGAACTTAGGCCAGGCCCCTCCCACTCTGGGCCTCAGTTTCCCCTTCTGTGAGCACCCTTTCAGTCCCTCCCGACCTCTTCCGAGCTCCTTCCCTAGCCCCTTGTTCATTCATGTATTCCTCCAATGAATATTTATGGAGCGCCTACTGTATGCCAGGGGCCCAGTGGTGCCTGGGCCGTCCCAGGCCTGGCCCTGTCATCTGCCCCAAGTGTGGAAGGTGGTGACCCCCTGGAGCCCCCACTCCTGCCGGGCCAAGAGGGGTGCAGTTCTGGAGGGAGGTGTGGGGGCTGGGTGCCCCCTGGTGGCAGGCCAGGGGAAGAAGAGAGTCAAGGCCCCTATGTTTGTTGCAGCCCCTGGGGCCCCTCGACCATGACCCCCATCGACACCCACTTCTCTCACGGGCGCTTGCCTTCCCTGGGAATGCCCCTCCCCACCCACTGGCCTCCTTCACCAGCACCCACTCCATGGCCCCTCTTCGTGCCCCTACTGCCGTTACCGTGCCCCCCATCATTAGCCCCAGTGTGTCCCCTCTGCCTCACTGAAGCGTGGAGATGTGTCAGGGATGGCGGTCTCGGCCTTCTCAGCCCTGGAGCTCACGGGACAGCCCTGCCACCAGCTCTCAGATGGGTGCCCCCTAACCAGCTGGACCTACCGGCTGGGCAGGGCACCTGCCAGGGCATGTCCACTCCGGCAGGATGGCCTGTGGCCACACGAGCAGTGACTCCTGCCTGTCTCTCTACAGCCCCGCCGTGCGGCAACATGTGTCCAGTAATGATCCTGTCTCAGCAGGCAGCAGATGTCACAATGTTTTCCTGATTTGCTCTTTAGCTTTAAAACAATTTAAAGAGAGAAGAAAACATTGCAATTCTAAAGATGCTCCACTTCAGCAAGAGTTCACGCGGCACCAACATGCGCCCTCGCCAAGAGAAAATATTATGCCCTGTTTCGCTGCTTTACATTTAAACGCGAATAAAAACTCCAGGCGGTTCCATAGACTGACGGCAACGGAGTGACTGAGTTCTGATTCTGCGTCTCTCCAGTCCCGGCTCTTTTTATTATTTACTGTGTCCCCGGAGGATGCACGGTGCCCTTTTGCGTGAGAGACCCAAACAGCGCCCAGAGATGACGGTGACGGCGGGCGGAACGTCCTCTCCCAGGAGGCGCCCAGCTGAGCCCTCGCGTGCGGTGCGGAGGGGGACTTCTCCCCATCGGCTTCCTGCAGGAGGCGGTTCATAAAGAATTCAAATGAGCAAGGTTGAACTTGCATCTCTGTTACTAAAACAATGTCAGTTGCCACAATTGTTTCATTAGCTCCGGGAAGGATTGTTGCAACAACGTTGGCTGGCTCCAGGGTCCCGATGCTCGTCCTGTTGTCTTTAATTCTCCACAGACAGGGCAGCCCCATGTCTGCAGCCGCCTGCCCTCCTCTCCCGGGGACCCTGGCCCAGAGGGCTGACCCCCCGGAGGACACGTGCCCGGTCACAGAGCTGCAGAAAGCCCCGGCCGGTCCTACAGCCCCGGGCTTGGACGGGGGCGTGCGGGGGCGAGCGGAGGAGCCGCTTGGGAAGACAGTTGGGCGTGTCTGCTACGGATGATGGCCCCTCGCTGTAGTGGGTTGAATCGCTGGGCCCATGTCCCAACCCCCAGACCCTGTGAAGGGGACCTTATCTGGAAAAAGGGACTGTGCAGATGTGATTAAAGGTCTCAAGATGAGGGCTGGCCCTGTGGCTTAGCGGTTAAGTGCGCGTGCTCCGCTGCTGGCGGCCCGGGTTCGGATCCTGGTCATGCACCAACGCACCGCTTCTCCGGCCATGCTGAGGCCGCGTCCCACATACAGCAACTAGAAGGATGTGCAGCTGTGACATACAACTGTCTACTGGGGCTTTGGGGGAAAAAATAAATAAATAAAACTTAAAAAAAAGGTCTCAAGATGAGATCATCCTGGATTATCCAGGTGAGCCGTAAACCCAATGACAAATGTCCTCAATAAGAGACACACAGAGGAGACAGAGAGGCCACGTGTTGAGGGAGGCAGAGACGGGAGGGATGTGGCCACAAGCCCAGGACGCCTGGAGCCCCCAGAAGCTGGGAGAGGCAGGAAGGACCCTCCGCTGGAGCCTCTGGAGGGAGCGCGGCCCCGCCACACCGTGACCTCAGGCTTCTGGCCTCCAGAATGTGAGAGAATAAATCTCTGTTGTTTTAAACCCCGCCGTGTGTGGTCATTTGCTCCGGCCAGCCCAGGACACTCACACACTCACCCTGCACCCTGTGATCTCTGACAGGCACATGCCATGGGAAAGGAGCCCTTTGCTCACTGGAGGCCAGTTCTAGAATGTTCCGAAGCTTTAGTCATAATAGCCCCAAACTAGAAACAGCTGAAATGCCATCGGCAGGGGATCGGGGCGCATGAGCTTCGGCCACCCCGAAGGACCGCAGGCCACCCACCAACGAGAAAGCACGAGGTCCTGACAACTCGCACAGCAGCCGGGAGTCGGACAGACACGGCTCTGAGTCAGACAGGAAGGGACAGAGACAGTGTGGGTGACGTAAATGACGTCCAAGGACAAAGTAAACAGAGTCAGGATGGGGCTACCTTGGGGGCAAGGGACTGGGAGGGGCTGTCACTAGCGCTGAGTGCTGGGCACGCTTCTCTCTATGTTTAAATTAAAGCCCAAGCAAATCCAAGGGCCCCAGGTCACAGTGTCCACCTGGGGAGACAGGTGTGCCCTCCCACTTGGGCTCCCTGGTGGGCTGAGCCCGGGGACAGTCCTGGAGAGGCACGGCCTGAGCGCCCCACACCTCAGTGAGGCAGAGGGGACACCCTTGGTGCAGGTGCAGAGCAAGCCAGTGCCGTCCCCTCCCCTGGACCTCAGCCACACAGCCTTCTCCAAACAGCTGGGCCGGAGATAAGCAGATTCTGAGATCCCTGTCCCCGACGTCCTCGTGGACTTCTCTGCAGGGCGGGGGCTCATTAATGATTACCCTCCACCCCTCCCTCCTGGCAAAGCCTCCGTTCCCGAGAAAATGCCAAAGTCCTCGCTGTGCCTTCCAGGTCCCTGCACGGTCCACCCCCAGACTCAGCGGCTTTCATCGCCTCACTGATTCGGCTCCAGCCACACCAGCCTCCCTGCTCTGCCTCCACCCGCCAGGCACCATCCTGCCTCAGGGCCTTTGCACGGGCTCTTCTCTCCGCCTGGTATTCACAAGACCCATGCCTGCATCTGAGTCATCTCTTTGCTCAGATGTCACTTCCATAGAGGGGGCTCTCTGACTCTTCCTCACATTGAGCCCCACCCCCAACTCCTGGCTGCATTTTTTCCCCATGACCTTCACCTCCTTCTGATGTGTCATATGTTTATCATATCGATTGTCGCCTCCCCAAATCCTCAGGAACCAGGACTTTTTCCTCTCTGGGCCATCACTGTACACGTGGCTCCTGGAGCAAGGCCTGGCATACAGTAGGCGCTCAGTATTTGTTGAGGGATCAAAGGAGTGAATTGGACCCACTGCTCCCCAGAAGCGCCCAGTGCTTCCCCTACCCCCACCCAGGGGAGTCTCAAGGACGAGGACACGGGCTGTGGTGGTGGTGGCCGCACAGGGCTGCCTTCTTTGTGGGAAAGCCGTCTTTGATGGACAGGGCCACCAGCAGCTGGGGACAAGCTGGGCTGCTAAGGGGGGAGAATGTGACGTGTCAGAGGATTGTGGGACATGGCTGATGTGCTTGGGCAGAAACCAAGAGTGTCTCCAGACACCACTCACCATCCCTGGGACAATCGCACCCGGCTGGGAACCACCGAGTCACGGCCCCCGGGACAGCAGGTTTATCTTCGGAACCCTCCTCTTGTGTGTCCACTACAAGTTGTGGCTAACTGGAGTCTCGGGGACGCAAGGCCCGGGTGGGCGGCCGGACCGTGATGACGCTGCGGGCCCAGGGCCTCCCCAGCTGCGGCTGTACACGCCTCACCCGGGGGCTGCCTCCCACGGAAACACGCACGGGGCTGCCGCCGGGGATGGGTTGAAGCCAGCAACCGACAGACGGGGAGACCCCAAACCCGGCCCCCGGGCTCAAGGTGGAGCCAGCTCCAGGTCCAGTGCACACCCCGGGACCCCCCCAACACTACCATGTGCTCAGCTCCCCCCGCCGCCCAGTTTCCAACTCAGGCTCTGCTTCCTGGGACC